GTTTTTTGATACCATGATTGTAGCATCAACTGATAAAGAGCGGTTATAACGACCCATCAAAATCTAAGTGCTGAGAAAAAAAATTGTTTTGAGCCACCTTAATACAAGAACCCTTTGAGAGTACGTCCGAAAAGTTCAATAGTTTGAGTCGCCGATCGAAACAATATACAAAAGTTGAATCTGAGTATGAATGTCCAACTTTTTAAAATAATGTGGATTCCAGTTGAAAATTCGAGGGTATTAACAGCAACACCTTACTAAAAATATGGTAGTGAATAAGGAGAATTAACGGTCAGATCTTGAGAGTGAAAAGGTTGAAGTTGAAGATGAAGAAAACAACTGAACGGATTTCCGAGGAACCTTTCCAGTTATGCTAAATATTTTCACGTGTTATTATTTCCATCAATGCCATTGTAAATTATTAAGTCATTACCTGGACGGCCCGGGGAACCAACAGGACCGGGTTCCCCGGGCGTTCCCGGTGGGCCTTGTATCCCTGGGAGTCCTGAGAGTCCTGGAAGTCCGAGATTCAATAAGAACATATGAAAACGGAGACAGGATTATCCAATAAAAACACCATAGGAATCACAGACAAGCATAGAAACAGTGACTGAAGAAGTTACCAACTCAAATTGAGATCACCAGTGGAAATGGGAATACTGCAAGCTATCCGGGGGAGGTAAAGACTCCCTTCCTACCCTACCCATCCATGCAACAAATAGATTATGAGCTCGAGATCTCTGTCGCGCGATAGTTGAAGAGGACGTAGCCCGAGTCAACAATTACGCATAGAAGTCGAGGGCGAATAATCTGATTGTTTAGTGTAAATCTACTAATCGTTCAAAACTTTATCAGTTCATAGGCACTTCAAAAACGCAAAGAAATGGCCGCTAGTTTTTTTTTTTAACAAGCGCACACTGCCAGGCTACTTGCCTCACTATCAACAACAGACTAGTATAAATCTACTAGCGTTCTATCACGAATGCCGTTCTCTGATTGGCTACGCTACTCGCTATCTATCCTGTGATAGATAGTGAGTAGCGTAGCAGTGTGCGCTTGTTAACAAAATGACGACCGCTTCGATGCGTTTTCGAGGTGTCTGTGAAGAGGATTTAGATAAAGTTTACTTTGAGCGACTAGTAGATTTATACTAAAACAATTAGATTATTCGCTCTCGACTTCTATGCGTGATAAGTGACTCGGGCGCACTATCGCACGATAGAAATCTGGAGCTCATAATCTAATTGTTTAATAGATAGCCATTCAGAGAACGGCATTCGTGATAGAACCCCAGTAGATTTATACTAATCTGAGAAAACAAATACACCCACGGGTCCTTTTTTCGTGTACAGTTAGAGTTTTGAGCTTAAAATTAGTCTTCTGCCTTTTGTTTACGCAAGCGATTGTGATGAAATATAGAACAAAGTTTGCGGCATGCCTCAGATTGTCGTAAAATATACGTTGAAAAAAATATATGCTGAAAAATATACGAGTTTCTGTCCCTACTTAGATGCTCCTAAATGCGTGTTGAAAGTTGTCACTATGATGTTAACCGCAAATGAGAAATGGTTTAGAATAAATTTGAACGCACAACTGCAGTGAGCGTTAGTTTCTCCTCATAGCAGATATTTTTAAGGACTTCCGACTAAATCAAATCTCGGGCCACTAGTAATGCACGCAAGGGCAATTGCTAATATTGAGTGTTTGCCCGTACAACCTACTACCGCTGATCTGATCCATACACTAAAGATAGAAATGGAGATATCACTGAAAAGAGTAGGAAAAAAAACAATAAAGTTTCTAACTTACCATCAAAACCACGGCTTCCCTTGAAGCCTCGCGGCCCGGGCATACCAGCAGGTCCGGAATAACCTAAACCGCATTGATGGAAGACATCATCGATTAGTGAATTGTATTGTAATCACATGGCTTGAAAATGTCCAGAATGAAACAACTGTATATACTTCTGAAGAATGTTTTTCTAGCGAAGTACTCTCATTCATTTCATTGTAAACTATTAAGTCATTACCTGGAGGGCCGGGCTGGCCGGGCGGGCCGGGCGGGCCAGCAGGACCGCGTTCTCCGGGTAATCCTAACGAATTGTGTTTGCGTGTTGTTCCTGCAACTCCTGAAAATCGCACATGCGTAGTAAAAACATATTATAACATAGACAAGTTAATCAAATGAAAGCACTGTAACACTTTTAGGGGACCTAGTGTTCTTTTGTACCCCCACCTGCCCCATGGCGAATCTGCAAAATATAAAAAAAATACTTCTGCGAATACGGTCTGCCTCTTATCTCTGAAAATACTGGATACATACAGTAACACACTGAAGACTATCTGACCTGAACCACCAATGTCACCGCGATTTCCCTTGACACCTTGCGGTCCAGGCATACCAGCAGGTCCTGGAAATCCTAAATTACATTGATGAAAAATGATTACTTAACGGAATGTTTGTTTCTTTGTTTCGTCTTTATTTTCGCTGTAAACTATAAGTCATTACCTGGAGGGCCTGGGGGACCAGCAGGACCCGGTTCCCCCGGCATTCCCTGCGAGCCTGGTGCCCCTGGGAATCCTGGAAGTCACATGCAGATAAAATAATAATAAAAAAAAACATTAAATATGAGACATCATCAAATGAAAACACCAAAGACTCAGCGACTTCAGTGAGGATAATCTTCATCTACATTTCATTTAGTCGGTAAAATCGCAAGATATCACACTAATCATTAAAATGTACAAAGCCCTTAGCCTTAAATGACTCCAATAAACAATAATAAACGAATAAATAAGTAATAAACAGTGCAGTGGTTGGAAAAGTCTTGAGCTTGAATTTTCAGTAGACTGTGAAGAATACAGATTACTGAGGTCTATCGAGGATGGGTGAATCGCACTTAACCCGCGGGAATCCCTTCCTACCCCGCCGCACAATTCACCCTGGAAAAAATAAATCAGTACAAGCACGCGTTTTCTTGCAATCTAAGAGTTTGTTTATAAATCAAGGAAATATCCGATCAGCTCTCTGCTTGACAGTCTATTCTTTGTGATAACCATTATCGTGTAACTATTATTCTCAAAATATTAATTTCAATGTAAACTATCAAGTCATCAGGGCCGTTGCCAGACAATGGCAATGTCCGTGGATAAATTCTCTTCCTTGGTATTTAGAGTGTTTATGGTGACTATAAACAACAAAAATGATAAAATGACAGAGGCAAGTGCCTTGGTTAGCCTACTACTTGCTACCGCCGTGGTCATCACCTGGAGGTCCGGGCTCTCCTTGAATTCCCAACAAGTTGTGTTTATTTGTCCCTTGTACACGTCCTACAAGTCAAAGACGTCCCACTAACATATTCAAATATTTAAAAAACAGAAACAAGCTGATCAAAGAAGGATTAAGGTTGTCAAGTAGCGTTGTATGGCGAAAAGGAAAAGAAAAAGAACACTTTATCATAATAAGGGGAATATTCCCGCATGCTTTCTAGGATTAAAGGGAGGAATGACTGCCTCTTTACCCCTCAACTCGGTGCTATCTGGAATAATAACAGCGCATACGCGTGTTTGTCCTTTCTTGTAAATGTGATTCTTATGTTGAGTTGATACTGACCTCACAATTTAATGCCAGAATTATGGGCTGAGAAGAAGCCGAAAATAAATTTCAAGACGAAAGTCCGTTTGACAATGAAACACGGTACAGATATCGGAAGGAATATTTCCAGTTGTGATTAGAACATTCGTTTGATGATTATTTTCATTAATTTTGTTATAAACTATTATGTCATTACCTGGAGGGCCAGGCGGACCAACAGGACCTTGGAAGCCTCTTTCTCCTACAAATGAAAGATGAAGTAATGAAGTATTAGACCAGAGACAAGATTATCCTGTGAAACAGAACTACAGACTAGGCCATGCAATTCCGCCGGGAAGCGCTCAAGACAACAAGACACGAAGTAGATAAAAATGCAAAATGCAGATACAGAAAATACGAAAGTCAACGGAAGTAGCAGAAGAAGTGTAGATTGATTATCTGAAGTTGAAAATGAACTAGAAAAGTAACTGAAAGACAAACCTTTTAGCAAAATTCAGAGGCCAAAAAAACTGAACCGAATGGAAGTTTTTTGCAAAAATTCAAAATCGATAAACATTTATGGTCAATTATTGGCCTTAATCGTGGTATAATCGTTTAGAATTAACTTGACGAGGCTGGGAAGACCTTTCATCAGCTGTGATTATTATTGTTCATGAATTTCATTACAAACTGTGAAGTCATTACCTGGAGGGCCCGGGGGACCAACAGGACCGGGTTCTCCTGACATTCCCGGAAAGCCTCGCATCCCTGGGAATCCTAGAAGCCCGAGATACAATAACAAGTGAGATGATGCAGTAAAACAATTGTCAAATGAAAGCATCACAGTCTTCACGCTGTGATTTCGAGGAGGACATCAACGAGCGCTTTATGAAAGAAAAAAAAGAAAAAAAAAACAAACGAAAACAAAGAACGGAGGATGAAGACGTCACCGGCTTGAGTTTTTTCCCTCAAGAATACAGAACGGCTTATAATACTCAAGCTATCCAGGAAGAAAACACTTCCTCCCAAATCCTTCGCTCGTACAGGTCTTCATCCTCGGTCAGTGTGTAACTGGAGGTCGGCGGGAAATTTACCTCACACCTCACTGTGTCTGGGAGACGGGGCCAACTGGATAACTGATTGAAATGGCGGAGAATATATTTTTAAAACGCACTTCTGACACCACAACCACTTCCCTCAGGAAAAATCATTGGGAAATAAGAACTGTTGCTGAATTAAATCCTGGACTTCTCTTTAACCAGTTGGCCTGAGAAAACCTAACTCATAGTGATGAAAAATCTTGATGGTTAAGAACGGTATTCCATGACCTATAAGACAAATCCAAGATGTCTTTTGAAGAAGACCCTGTTCCTGGCAAAATATCCTGTGATTCAGTCAATCCATGCTAGAAGCGTCAATTGTTCCTTCAGGGTCAATTTTTGATCATGTTGGTTCTACCAGTTTGTTTCAGTAAATCAGGACAACTTTACAACTTTAAGCTATGAATTCATTTACCTGGAGGGCCTCGTTGGCCAGCATGACCGGGCTTTCCAGGCTTCCCCCTCCGGCCTGGTCTTCCTGGGGCTCCTAGAATTCAAAGATGAGGAAAACGGAAACAAAATTAAGAAATTACTCTGGTCACGTAGCCTGCAGAACATGCGGATTAGCGGGGCAGTGAGCGAGACGCGATAAACGAGCGCGAAGCGCCAGACGAAAAAAATTGATAACAATCGTCTCGCGCTTGGCGCTCGTGTATCGCGTTTCGCTCTAGCGTTTCGCTCTCTGCCCCGCTAATCCGCCTGTTCTGCAGGCTATTGGTCACGCTACTTGTAATCTTGGGTTCGTCACGCAATCTCATCTCCCTTTAGCGTCTGCGTGGGAGGCTACAGAAGATTATTGTTATAAGAAGTAGCTAGAAGTAAACCCATGCGAATTTCCAGCGAACAAGGTGCAAATATACTCTTCGAGAATTGGTTATGTGATAACTGAAATCGTCATAACTCTCTCCTAGGACAGGTCAACTGGATAAGAATTGTTACCGTACAAAAAATTCTGGGCCACTAACCGACGCAAGTACAAGAAGTTTGAGCGCTTCTCCGGACACGAACTTCCTCTGACCCCTGAAACATACACAAAACTGACATTAAAAAACAATTCGTATGTCCGTGGCAATACCGAAATTTTCTTAAAATCACAGACGCTTGTAAACCGGAAAAGAAACCTCATACCTGGATATCTCGCGCATTGTTACCGAGTTGTAAGGTCTGGATAAGCTTCTCATGTTCGCGGATTTGGGTTTTCAGCCAGCAGAGTTCTTTGTGGGTGTAAACAGCAAACACAAGACCCGCGCAGGCTAACAACATGCAAACAAGTAAAACAGGGAGAAGTTGGCCTCCTCTTTGCTTTTCTTTTTCTTGCATGGCCGGTGGGATAGGACAAGAACGTCAAGAACAGACCGCTTAACAGACAATGATGGCCGAACTGTGAGGGAAAATTCCCGGAAAACCGGGATAAAGTCACATGAAAACCCATCTGGCTCTAAGCCAAATGGTATTGGCGTGATATTGTTTACCAAGAAAATAGGGGAAAATTACAAACGGATCCACTTTACTTTCTACATGGAATATATCTGTAATTTAAAGGCCCTATTAGGGCTTTTCGAGATACGAGATATTTAGGTAAAAAAGTTATGGGATACCACTAAGATATTTGGGGGGAAAATTAATGGGATATGGGACATAAGAACAGATATTCCGGCATATCAAGAAGGAGAACTGTTGACTTTTAAAACTGGGATATTTTATTTTAAACCAAAAATTAACAGGATATGGAAAACTCAGGTCGCCATCGAATTGGGCGTCAGTTTGAGGACTACGTTTCCTAAGTCCAATTTTCATGTACCTTGGAGAAACTTTGACCTTGATATGATATAATGATCGTATTTGTACCACAACCAAAGCCGAAAGTCCGAAATCAAAGTTAGTGTTCAAAAGTTGAAGTTGATATTGCCGAATGATGGAAGTCGGAAGGGTTTTATTTGGATAGAACTTCCGTCATCACTCAGTGAAACCTTCTCAAGGTGGTGTACTGCAAATCAGGCCGTAAAAACGATTTCCACGATAAGATGTCCATCATTAAGTGAGCAATAACAATCGCTTATGTTCGTGAAGATTTCTACTTTGGATATTAATTTTACTTATTTCTCTTCAAAATTTTGCCGTAACTTTTTCAGATTTTGTTTCTTCACATAATGAATCATCGGGGCAAATTTTGCTCGGTATGATCTGATGACACACAAAACGTTTGCACGTGACAAGCCAGATGGTTCCCCGTGATGAGCTCGTGAACTGTCTCCATTGGATGAGAGCTATTGTGGTCAACGAACGTAATCTTGGCGTGACTCCGTTTAAAGCAGTGCTAAATCTTGAAAAGGGGAATTTAGTAAATTAATAAGTGTTGCTTTCGTTTGTCGGTCGATCACGAGTCCAAGCTTTGGCTACTCAAATTGAACGCTACCTTATAACACCGTCTTTGTCTGGTTGATTGTGAGGTACAGATTAGTTTTATGTCGTTCTGGACCATACATACTCATGTCCACTTTACCAGTTTTCTACCATGTTTATCTCTAATGATCCGGAAGAACCCCATTCCGACACCGACAGTTCACTACAATAATTTTATTTCGATCGCAGCAAAGGAAAAGTTACAGCTTATATTCATATTAATTAAAATATTACAACACAGTTTTATACATTTAGCGATACTTAAACACATCTATTGTTAAATGGCTATAAAATTTAACTTTAACAACACAAATGAAAGACATTAAAGTTATTAGCCTGAATAATAGCATTTTTCAATATAACAAACTAAAAGGCTAAGTTAACTTGCACAGCAGCTGTCCGTCTAACGCGAATCAGCAATACTCACATTTAGTAAATGCTATCTTACAACCTTTGGATACCAAAGGGCTTCATGTAAGCTAAACTAGAGATGCTCTGTGTTATAACTCTGACCTGTCTTCATAAATGGCCGCCATATGATATTTTTTTAAGGTTATGATTTCAAGTCAATTAACGACACTTTACCATCTCCTTCAATTTTTTTGCCATCTTTGGCAGGTCGAGTGTTTTGGTCCAATCGTTGCAGAGTTTGATATCAGTGTTTGCATGCACGGATAAAGACAGTTCTGCCTTTTTCAGCCTCGTTTTCGTGAACAAATGTTTTTGCCACTCAGTCCTCTGCAAATTAAATTTTGCATTAAAACTGCACGTGTGAGGCTCGTGCGTTTAAAGGGCAAGACACGGTGCTAGTCATTTATGAATAGGGTCTAAAGTTGCGCAAACAAGAAATCTTTTTTTTTTTTTGGTCTTGGTTAAACTGTCCAAGGATCCTACAACCACGGCCAGTTTCCTAGCAGTTAATTGCTAAGTGAAGAGGTATTTTGCCTTGCAAACAGTGTTAAGGAAGTTAAATACCACTTTAAACGTATTTAACCCAACAGTGATCAACAAGTTACTTCCTGTTACAGCATTGATCGGGCAGAAAGGTGGCAAGGGATAACGAAAAACTGTAGTCGGTGGGAGACGAGCTTAGCCGGAACGTAGCAGCCTTGATATATCACCAACTTCCTAGAACAAACGTAGAAGACAATGCGTTCAATTTCGGGACAGGAAAGGTCAACGTGTTGTAGGATGAAGCAGGAATGCGCCAAAATAACTTGAACTCGGATTCATGTAATAACGAGTCGAGAAAGGAGTTCGGACAGAAATGCGATCCGTCGCGTTTAGCAAGACTACGCCGCCATTGTAATTGGTGTTATATTTTCTAGCTTCACTGACAACAGCAGATGTACTCTCCAAGAATTTGTCTGAGTTGACGCACAACTGATGACTCATTTGAAGTGGTGTGCCGTCATGGTAGAACATCTGGGAATACACGTAGTAAAATCCAGATATTTGTACTTGCACAATGCCATTATGGTGTTGAATTCTGCCTGATCTGTACTTTACAAGCCAGTTCCTAACTGTACGTCTTGCTACTGTGAAGAAACAAACCCATTCTGGGTGAGAGGAATTCGCTGCGAATAGTTATGATCACAGATTGAAAGCAACGGCATGACAGGATTGGAAAGTCACTGAGTGAAGTTGGCACTAAAACACGCTCAGCATTGGTTATCCCCAATAAAATCAGAAAACAGTACATTGTGTGCTTAATATTTCACCCTAGCAATTGATTGAAAGTTAATCTAGTGTTTTCCGTCTGCACTCTGTTAATCAATCATTTAGTCAAATACAGTGCATACGACTATTGAATTAGTTAATTAACCAATCATTTAATCCCATTGTAGGTTTTACAGTCAGTCATGTGCCTACAGTCCATCGCCTATTCATAAACAATTCATCCTAAAACTATTTGTTTTTCAAGAAATAAATCACATCTCTTATCATTCTGTTATCAGTTAATGCTCGCATCCTATTGGTCGGTACGCTGCTATTTTCGATATTTGCATCGTCGTCATTATCATGATCAACAACAACAACAACAATACCAAGAACATCAGGGGAAATTTTCCCTACGCTTTGAATACAATTTGAAAAGCAGGTATTTCATGAGCAACGATACAAAATATCATAGGTCATGATGTGTTTGACATAAGCTTTTGATAGATAAATGAATGAAATTAATGAAATGAGCCAGTAAAGTGTCGTGGAAACGGCGTGGAGCACAGATCAGGCAGCATCGAGACCACAGGCCAACTGGACATAACATCGTCAACTGACTTGACACCTAAAACATCAACAGTTTATCTACGTATTATACCGTTTAGAAAGCTAGAAAAGTCCTCTTGCCACTACAGACAACCCGATATCATAGTGCTGTACGACCATGTCACCCTTGAAATGTTACAACCTTCAAATATACTTACAAGGATAATATCGCTCTAAGATATTATTTTTGAGTTAGGGCGCTAAACAGAATGCGTTCGGTTGTTGGAGTTGAGTACCCTAAACAACATAATTCTAACCTAAAGCAAAAGACTATGTTCTATGATAGCCTTTCCCTAAAACGAGACATCGACCTTTATCGCAAAACATCCGTGGAAGCCTTAAGTCTGGTCTAAATGAACGATCGAAAAGAGTAACAAGTCATTTACAGTACTCCCATAAGGATATACCAAGGGAGGGAGCCCCTTAACTTTTCAGGAGGTTAAATTCCCGCGTGTGACCATCATCTAATCTAATCGATATGGTGTAACAAAAAGGCTCCGAAAAAGCTGCCCTCACTATCCATGAAATAGTGCACAGTGTATGGAATATGAACGGAGATGGTGTCATTTTCCTGAAGTAAGAATACCCCGCCATGATACTTGGTGTTGTACTTCCTTTCGGCACTAATAACGCTCCCTGAACTTTCCATGACCTTTTCATGATTGATGTAGGTGTTGTGACCCATCTGTATGGTGGTGCCATCATAGTAATACATTTGGCTGTAAATGTAGTAATAGCCCTTTCTCTTCACCTCAATGTGCCCGGTTGGTGAGTGGTACAAGATGCTGCCCTCCCTGTGCTTCAATGCCCAGTTTGTAATGCGGTGGAAGCCTGCTGACGAATATTTGCACTTGATTAGTGATTAGTTTCCGAATCATGCACGTTTTTACTCGACCAGAAAGACTAAGTCATTTCAAGGATGCCATAAAAAAAAAAAAAGCAAATTACTTGGGTTTTGAATTTTTTGTCCATCGCCAACAAGGTGGATGCTCTCACTCATCTAGATGGCAATAAAAAAATATATTAGTTAAAAGTTAAGACCTTGTAATTATACAGTGTGAATGAATGAATGATCGTCACCGTTATAAATTCAATGTCTTTTACCATCTATGCCCGGCAATTTCCGACTGCTCGTAGCTCGAACGCCATTACGAAAAGGGAACACCAATTCCAAAGGCAGTGGGTTCGAATCCTTCTTTACAAGGCCAAATATCTTTTCCTTACCCTTCTGGGTTTCATATCTGAGCCCTATCTGAGATCAGATCCAAGGCTAACCGTCTTTACAATAGTAACGCTTTTCGCTGATTTCTTGTAAAATTATGCGCTAATTCCTTACCACTACACTTGTACAAAAGTCAGCCGGTAGATTACTCACCGACGCTCCGGGCGGCCCAGGAGGTCCTATTAAAAAAAACAAAACAAAAACAAAACAAACAAGATAAGAGCTTTCAGTGCCATGACTGCTGTCCTGTCTTTGCCTATTTTGTCTTGTGCTAATGTTCCCGCTCTGTACTGTACATTCATTTATAAAATATGAATAAGTTCCCCAATCTGAAAATGATACTTTGTTACCTTCCAGTGCCAATTGCTCTCTGACAATGTTCGCATGCCTCGGGGAGGCACAAACTGTTCGTGCTAATTTCAAACTAAACTTCGCAACTTTTCGTAACTCACGTCTTCAAGGGGTTTTCTTTTTCCAACTAAAATCCGGCGGTTTTCAAACCTTATTTTCTGTTTAGTAAGTTTTTAGCTTTTACGAACAATTGATTCCATGCAGAATCTTAGTTAACAGTTTTTGAATCCTCATATTGCACGAAGGGGGACACTTTCCCACATCCCCCTTGTTAGGCTTGCGAACGAAGAAATTTCAGGTGCAATAGGGTTAATATAAGCGCAAGTTCCTACCTATGTCGCCTTTGGTTCCCATGTCTCCCTTGACGCCAGGGGGGCCCTGAGAGCCATTTTTACCGCCTACTCCTTCGGGACCTGAGGGCCCAGTGTCTCCTGGAATACAAACATAAAAAAGAGAGTCATGACATAATACTTAAGTATTACTTGGTTTGATTCTAGCGTGAAGAACGTGCAGTGAAGTAAATGCCACGTCAGGGGGACTCCAACCAGGATTGTAAAACTGAGTTAAAGTAAGTGACTTTACGTTATTTATTAGGAATGGCAGTTTTCCTGCTTTTATAATGACTTTCAAGAGTAGTAGTATGTTCACTTTGGTGTCTCATGATTTCTTAGCTCTGTATTTTTTGCTCATAAAATTCCTTGTTCATGTTAAACTAAACAAAGTAAGCGAAATGTATTTTCAGCCTAAAATTTTGACAATCTACAGCCAAAACCAATCGGCATCGTAACAGGCTCACATGAAAAGATTATTTTTTTTTCCTTCGGTTTCGCGTTAATTTTCGAGAGTTTTGAGACTGTTTGCTTTCAATTTCTGAAACGTGACGTTCAGTCACATGACCACCTTATAACCTTATGTGGAAAGCTCACCTTTTGTTCCTTTGGGTCCCTGTATTCCTGGAGGGCCCACAGAGCCTATTTCGCCTTTTTCGCCTTTTTCGCCTTTTTCGCCGGGAGGGCCTGGATCTCCATTGTGCCCTGAGGAAAAGGTGCCAGTTGGTGATTAACCATAAAGCACCATTACCACCAGAAATGTGTTTCTTTTTGCATTGTGGTTTGCTAATTCTCTGCCAATCACTGAACAAACCACAGCATACGCACTACGTTAAGCAAGCCAAAAAGGCTAAACAGATACAATCTTAAATTCTTATAGACTGGCAAACTACATGATATGTTTGATAAATTCAGAATTGAACTTTACCTATCTAGCCAGAGGAAGTATGGCAAGGAAAAAAATGGCGAGAATTCAAGCCTCATTACCTTACAAAAAACAAACTAACCTCGTTTACCTTTTTTACCTCGCCGACCTACGAAAAAAGAAATAGAAACGGGTTAGAAAATTACATGAATAAAATATGTTTGCTGAATATCGATTATCAAGGACGCCTTGTGCCACCGAATCTCATCAAAACCTCGGTGGCGTAAACGTAGATTATTGGGAAACATGTGTTTCACTGTTGGTATAAAAATGGGTACCGGCGAACTTAATGCTGGGNGGGTAACCCTGCGATGAACTAGCATCCCATCCAAGGGGGAGTAGAAATACTCCTAGTCGCTTCACGCTACAGAAACCGGCCTGATAAGCTCCAGCCTGATGACGTGTGGAAGGGAATTTCAGCATTATTGCACGCCAGAGCTACAATTTCTTATTTTTCAAATAACATCGCTAGTTACACTAGTCGCTCGTTGTGCTCACACATAATGTTATGTGCGTTTGTATCCGGGGGGAACAAGCATATCGAGTTTGCGTTCATCAACTTCATTAAAAAATCTTCCCTTTCGAAGATGCACGTGCTAAAGATAGTTCCGACATGTCTCGGTGAAATTTTCATTTCCTGCTTAAGCGCATTGCATAGCTGTACTAGCGACAACTTAAAGAGCCGGACAGTTTATCGAAGTTTCCGACTTCCACACGATCCACGTTCGTGACGTCACCACAATATACGGTCATATCACGTGACCCACAACAGATTGACGTCATTGTGAATAGAGTGCTTTCACATGACGTCACGGCAGCCATATTGGTGTCCGAAAACAATGAAACGGCGGCCATGTTCCCGTCCCTAGCCAAGCCTGTGGGAGTTGAACTCTTTTCTTATGTAAACACTTTCTTTTGATTCAATAATTTGCATGGCTGCTAGCCACGTGAGTGAAGATGCTCTATATAGACTAATTTCGATATATTAAAATTCAGCCTAAAACAATAGACCCCAGTACGTAGCTCTGGGGAATAACTACAGAGTTTGTGGGGTTTTTTCCCCAGAGCCTCGTGCTGAGGTCTATTGTGTTAGGCTGAATTTTAATATATCGAAATTGGTCTATTAAGCAATGATGAACATTGGAAATGTATATTCCCAGGAGCCCATGACCTGATATTCCCAGTATTTAAAAAAAAAGTCTATCGTGAAAGAAACCTTATAGCGACAAAGTTTGTGCATGTGTGAGCTGAAAAACTCAGTTTAAAACTCCTTGAAATACTATTTGTAGACTACGAGTATTCCCTCTTTCGCTTAACCCGTCGAGTGAGACCGTAAATAAACCGCGACGAAAAAATGGCCGCGCGAAATCCTGGGAACGAGAAGCGCTTCTCACCGCCAGGATTTCGCGAGCCATTTTTTTCTCGCGGTTTTCTTTCGTGTCACGCAGAACGGACTAAGCGAAAGACAGACTACCCGTATTCTTGACTATTTGAAGAGGAGACATGTAAATGCGTTGTCAACGTACACACACACGAGCCCGCGCGCTATATTACTAGCAGAGTTAATAATCAGCCAAGCAGTACGTCATGTACCTGAATTTCCTTTCGGCCCTGGAGGGCCCGGTTCTCCTTTAGGGCCTGCAAGGAAAATGAAAAATTATGAAAATTATGTACAAGATTAGAGATTGTCAGAGTGCTAGAAATTGAATTTACGGTTCTTACGGTGAAGTACTTGAATTCCAATTTTTCCGTTGTTAATTTCTCAAGAAATGTTGCAAAGGTCTTAGGAAAATTTAGCATTTACTTTTCTTTTCTTATCCAACCCAAACTGCACAAAAACAAGATTACAAAAACAAGACCTTTCAAGCGGATAAACTGCTGAAAAACAAACTGTTTTGGATAATTCAAACGTAATAACCTGCCTGTCAACACTCATATCCAGCTCCTTTGACACACTGAGTAGCTTGCAAAGGTAAAGTAATGTAAGCAATATTTTCTGGCACTGTGCAAACAGCCGGAAATCAAACATTGCCAGTTTTTCGTTGAACAGACGTTTAAAATTTTGATGCTTACTTGACCAGCCCAAGGACAGCATTTTGAATCCTAATTCTGTCATGAATACATTTATGTAAGTTTAAACCAGTTAAAACTTAATTTATTCATCTCTGGGATTGAATGGCGGCTGATAACATGATCGAGTGGTTGCAAGGAGAGGTTCCTTTTGTCTTCACTGAGTAGAAAGAGAAGGAAATTTCTCTCTCACAGGGTATCCCTTTGGTCAGAAACACTCTGTTTAGCATGCATATGATATGGTAGTTGCCTCTCATTTTTAAAACATTTGCATTTTGATTCATTCAAAATGAAAGAATTCTAATCGTGATGAAAGACAAAACTTAACTAGTTCGAGCGTTAAGCACTAGAAGCACTGCAGTGTGGCATTCGTTCCGCGAATCCTTATATTTCAACAGTCCTTTGTCCATGAGTCATTGTTTTGAAGGTCACTCGCCGGTCACGCAATCAGCACGTGTTTATCATTTGGTCGTTTTGGATGAGAAACTTTGGAGTAAAAGCAGAATAGTGCGTTTAATTTCTACAGTCAGATCGGAAACGCTATTAAATTCTTGCAGACTGTAAAAAAATGCAATTGAACAAGAATGCTGGAAGTTTTGATGATCGGTTGAATCTCGATATCGGCAAACCAGAGATCGAATGACAAATCATCTATTCTATGCAAATCTTAAAACTTGTTAATTCGATTTCAATACGCATTAGATATCAAATATCATGACATTCTCCTCCTTTTGTTCCTAAGCTGTTCCTATTGAGGTCAAATACTCAAGCATTTTTCACATCAGGAAGCTATAGCTGTCATCAAGTATTTAAAATTGGAACTTTCTTCTGTATTGTTCGAACGTTTATCACGCACTTTCCCAGCCAGACACCTTTTCCGCTGGAACTGTGGGTTTCGCACGTCAACAAATTACTTGTATCTAGTTGCATCTATTAATTTACGCCAAACTCTTATACCGGTGAGATTCTAAGCTACAGAAGAATAATTTGGAACTGATGTGGCCAAAACAATCGTTACCGAGAAACAAAAGTACGCAAAAGTAAACATCTTAAGTTGAGTTATGTCAGCGACAACGTTATTATTGCCTCGACTAAAGGTCACGAATTATACTGACACCGAAATAGCAGAAACGTTTTGAGCTATTGTGTTGTATTGTAGTTGTTTCCACAATCGCTTGGAGTCCAGTTTCAAGATACCGAGTGACGAATGAATGTTTATTTTTTCGGTTCTTGTAAAAACTGATCAGTTTACAAATTCACGACTCATGGGCACCAACACGGAAGTAAACAAACTCAAAAGACCAAAGTGCATTCATTAAAATCTTTCTTTGCCCTGTAGAGATAATTGTATTCTTTCACTCGCAGACAAGTTGTATTTCACCCTACTCCTGACCTGTTCTACGCGGATCTTTTTGGATGTAAACCAATTGTTTTAAAATTTGTGTCTTTGGAATCTCTTAACCGTGTCCTGTCAATTGAGTGTTATTCTTGGCACCAATAAGATTACCTTGTAAACAGGGGCAGTAGCCTTCAAACTGTCTTTTGTTCCTCCCTTGAGGAAGATCGGATAAAGCGAGCTGCGAAAAAGAAGCAAACAACAATCCTCCATTGTTCCTACTTCCTAATGAATGCATCGGTTCTTAGAACATTGATAAGCAAATTGACGCAATATTTGAATACGCAATTAAGCTTAACTCCTCTGCTTAGTTTGCACCGTCAAAACAGCTAACCTTGTTTTTCAGACGGGCAGATTTTTCCTCCAAAACGCCATCAGTTTCACCCACAGATTCCTCATCCGTCTTCTGAGCTGTGAAGCTGTTTTCCAACTTGTCAACGCGCGCGGCCAGCTTGTCTGCGACAGTTTCTAGTGTTTGAATTCTTGCAAACTGCGACACCACGAGACGATGCAGATTTACTACTAAAACCGTCACGATTATGATGTACAATGCAGCCGTTAGAATCGCAAAGTTGGTAAAAGTGCGACGCGCACATGTTTTCCTCCGTTGGTCCATCGGTTAAGTGTGTTTTACGAGGAAACTCTTAGTCCCAAACTCATGCTTTTGTTTTGATAGCCGGCCTCCGCAGTCCGGCGCAAAGCACTGTCTTCAAATTTTCCACGCTTCATTGAGATTTCATAGACTTTTCTCGGAAAACAAGGCCATCTTTGCGCATGTGCCTAGCTGATTGACAGCCAGAGAAAAATTGAAAGTTTTAGGTATACTGCAAGTACAGCGCTGCGAAATCGGAAAGCAAGGAAACGATTTGAATCACTCAATGTCACGACAATTGTTCATTTTTGAGAATGCAGTTCTAAATTTGGTTCTGCGAGAAAACGGTGTCTAAGGGGACTAGGTAATGTCCCTGAAACTGCAGCTCCGTCCTTGAGTGAGAAAATCTGACGTCGCTGTGCCGGAGTGTATTAATTCCCCTTACCAACTCCCATCAGGATCGAGCCTATGACTGGGACCCTCCATATGGTTGACTCCAAGGGTTAGCGATGATGGGCGATGCAGGCTCCGGATCGTGGGCTCCTACTCCCATAATTTTTTTTAAGGTTAGTTCTGAGAACTTGGTACTACAACAATATATCTTCCCCGCATCGCTGTTTTTTTTTTGTTTTTGTTTTTGTTTTTTAATAATTTTCGATCCTAGGGCCACTAGTCACACTGTCGAAGGTTTCCTTGGCTTATAGCTCCCAGGAGCGTTGCTGCTTCTCCTCCCGGGGGGGAATACTAGTCAGCCTCAGGGCACACCTCAGTATTCTGTAAGGTTTCCCCTAACTGCATGAAGACAGGCACGATAGTTGTGAAGTCCCGAGGAGGACCTCCCATATGAAAAGGCCGGTAATGCTAAGGGGTATAAAATAAAGGGTTTTGGTCTCCACGAAACGCCACGTCAAAGTTTCTTTTAAGGTGCACTTGAAGAAATAGTATTAAAAAGGGCTCTTATGTCCATTTTTAGGCTCGATTTTCGCCGGTCCCTCGACTCAGGTTTACTAGTTTGAGTGATATCTTTTACGGCTCAAATACAGCTCGAGCAAGGCCCAGATTGGTATCCTTTAGGGGTTTAAGTCAAATTTTCAGACGAACACTCCCGACATTTTCATATGGGTGTCCCACCGGGTGGGTAATGTCTTGCCCAAAAACACGACACAAAAACCCTGGCCAGGGCTAGCCAACGCCGCCCCGCCGGATCCACCCCGCCGGATCTCTTCGCTTGCCAGTTCACGCGTGTGACTCCAAGGTGAGCCTGCACGCAGGCTAAGCCAGGGTTCGAACCCGAGCCGCTTAATCGCGTTGTGTTTTTGAAAGAGCTCTAGTCAGCCACATGTTTGGTTTTGTGTACATGCGAGAGTTTGGCCATTATATTTTATTCGGAGCTTGTCAAAACGAAGGAAATCACTATAAAACTACTAACGATAATTACTTATTTTCAAAAACGCAACTTACAGTATAGCAGAAAGATTGCGCTTCACCCTGTAATATCAAGAATTTCGATAGCAACGAAAATGGCGCAGGCTGACCAGAGTCCTTTAAGCCTGCAAAAACCAACCAGCAAGCTCATTCAGATTCTAGAAAAGAAACCTGTCTAAATCAGACACCAGTTGAATTTGACTCACATTTCATCACTAAAGACTTTAATTAACCATATTTTGACTTAATTTTTTACAGTGCACTGGTATATTATATGAACTTCGCTGATATTGGCTACATGTGTACTGAGAGGTCTGCACTGGATCCAGGCCTCCAGCAGTGTTAGGTATGTCAGTGCATTTCTCGTAAGCGTTGTAGCAGCAGTGCAATATTATTTACAGCATATTATTGTGATGAAAGGAGATCCATGATCTCCGTTTTTACTTGATGAAACTATTATAATTGCACGTGGCTTATTAACTTACTTAAAGACAAAGAATGGCGCTAATGACTCAAAAAGCTTCCTCTACCTAAGCTGACCGATCAAAACCAATTAAACTGACAATAAACAAATGAGCGTAAATCACAACAGAAGTACTCTTCCACCCCCCCTCCCCACCCCCAATTTTTTTTCAATTCGACCCGCAGCAATTCATGATGATCATTTTGCTCTAGGGAGCTCCATGTTGCGCCTGACTGGTTATCACGGCTCAGTTGTGACTTTCGCGCGAGTAACGACCAATAGCCCTTTTCACGGTTAGTTTTTCTCATTTGCATTACAATGTAATCTAACGTCGATGCGAGGCAGTTTTGGGTTAAAACTGCAAAATAGCCCGAAATTGCCTCACATTCACGTTAGATTACATTGCAATGCAAATGAGAAAGCTAACCGTGAAAAGGGCTATTGGAGCCCACCTCATTATTATCTCTAAGGTCATTAGGAACGAGGCTGGAATCTTGGTAGTGTACGTCATCAGAATGGAATTTTTCGGATCAAATTAAACCGCGCGAAGGGAGACGGCTATTTATCACGCTAAATTAAGGAAAAATGACAGACTGCACATTTTGTTAATGAGGTCGGACAAATCTTTGTCATTCAAAATCAATGCAGACAAATTGCTCCGGCTTTAAATGACTAACAGCTTTCATTTACAAATCACCCCTGTATGTCCAGTAGGCCACTTCCGAGTTGCCTTTTGCCTCTGTTTCAAAACGAGTCTTCGTGTGAAACCATTCATATGGAAATGTGTGCCGCCTACAGGTTCATTTTCATGAAAATCAAACTCATTTTTATATGAGAGATTTCTGGGGCGAATACGTACAGGATTTTCGGGTGCGTTCCTTTCGGGTGATCTGGATCAGGATCAGTGATCCAAGATCACTCAAATCATAGCGCATCAAAGGAACCAATGAATCCATGACCAGAGTGGATTCATCGGTTCCTTTGATGCACCATGATCCGAGTGACCTTGGATCACTGATCCTGATCCAGATCACCCTCAAAGAAACGCACTCTTAGGAAAGGGGGTTCGAGATGCGGACCGCCCAAGGCGTTCCCCCGTAGGAAGATTCAGGGGCATGCAACCCCGGAAAATTTTTAAAATCTTGAGCTCCTCGAAAATTGGTTTTCCGGCAGTCTGAAGCCAAGTTAAGTCATTAGTTTTACATTAGGGGGGTTGCCGAGCCCCCCCCCCGAATCCCCTTAGATCCACCCCAGGGTTATGCACTTAGACTCGTTTTAAAACAGAGGTGGAACTAGTACAAGGTAACTCAGAAATGGCCTGTTAATCATCAGTCGGGTGAATCAAAAATGCACCAAAGAAGCTTTTCAAGCTGTCCATATTGTAGCGACTCGTGTACGGAACACGAACAGAGATGGTGTCGTTAACTCGAAGCATAAACACTCCGCCATGATACTTAGTGTTATACTTTTTCGTTTCGCTAATCACGCTTGATAAGCTCTCCATGACCTTTTTGTCGTTGATGTAAGTGTTATGAGCCATCTGATGTGTTTCACCGTCGTAATAATACATTTGGCTGTATATGAAATAATATCCTTGTCTTTTGATTTCCACGGTGCCTGTGGGCTCATGGTACAAGATGCTGCCAACCTTGTGACTCATTTTCCAGTTGGTGATGAGGTGGTGATCTGAAAGACAACCAGACATGAATCGATTTTAACTGACACAAAGAAAGTTTAACATCTAGGTAAATTAAACTCTTGTTCGTTCCTTGATTGAAAATAAAACACAAACAGCCGTGATAAACATTGTACACCAACGCAGTTTTATACTAAACTTGACATTTCGTATGCTGAGCAACGTAAGCGTTGCAATTTTTGAACAACTATTCATATCGTTCTTATTGGTGGTCTGGAACCTAGACTGAGAAAAATGATAGATAAATTAAAATAGAAACCATGGCTATGGAAAAACTATGGGATACGCTAAAAGTGTTCTCTCTCGGTCGACGTCCATAGTTAGTTTCAAAAAACTGGTGGCATTGATGTCAAGACCATATCCTCCAGTTGATGATTTTGTCTCTTCTCGTCACCTGTCTGTCTGGCAAAGTATAATATTGCAAGGAGAAAGTAGGTGCTAATCACTCTTGGTTCTAGGTAAGTGAATCATGCTTTCTCAGGACTTACGAGCTTGTTCTATTTCATGGCCTTTTCCCACCAAGTGGATGCTCTCGCTTATCTAAAATGCAAAACAAGGCAGAAACAAATAAAATTAGCTTCTTCACTAGCAACGGCACAGGTTAGAAGCAGCAGCAAAGGAACCTAATGGGTCGACCCATTAAACTATGTTTAAAGTTAGAAGTGTTTGTCGTTGCTACTGGGTAAAACTAAATTCAGTTTATTCCATCCAAAGTGGTTTGCCGCACTTCAAGTAAACCAAACCGACGTAGAAGGTGGAGGCTAGTCATCCGAGTCTAAACATAACTGACGCTGAAACTTCTGTTGCTAAAAATTAACAGTCGCCTTTTTGAGAGCCCCCTACACCAGGACGATCACACTTTCCTAACTATTTAAACTCTATTGATTAAGCAATAAAACATTACGCGATATACTCCTAATTAACCGCAGGTCCACATCAGCTTATGCTGCCTATATACCGACCTGCGTAAACAAATAAATGATGTATGTATGTATGTGTGTGTGTGTGTGTCTGTCTGTATGTATGTATGTATGTATGTATGTATGTGTGTGTGTGTGT